GGGAACGAGAAGATTTTCCGAAATAGGTTTCCTCGAATTTTGAAAAATAGACTTTGTTTTATCTGCTATTTGGAATAATGCAAAGATGTTTGACAGATCTAATAGAGGTGATGAAACTTGGGATATGACACGGAAAAAAAGAAGACAGTAAATGCAGTGGAAATCAAAGAATTCACTTCGGTCGAAATTGAACTCGTGTCTTGATCACAATTCAAAAAATGCATTTGTGTTTCTTTGGTCATATTGAGTAGGTTACTACAAATACTGAGTACAAAGATAATCTGTCGCTGAATATACGGGGTGCGATGGGTAATTTGTGGCCATTTTATATTTTTAATTTCGTGCATGTGCGTTATTTATTGATGTTGTTGACTGCACAGCATAGATGGTGCCCAACTGACCCTACTATAAGAAAAAACGCAGCCTGGAGCAATTCACGAAACATCATGCTGTACTGCTTGGAATTCGCGTCCAGAATGTTTGAATGACAGTGCAGAGGACTCGGAAAGAGTTGGATGAGTCTAATGGTGATTACGAAGGTGTTTAGGGTGATGACTAGTAATGGCAACGTTATGCCTCCATTCATCTTTACTTTTCAGTATCAACATGGAGGCCTACATCAAGTGATTTCAGGCGGTAGTGCTGTCTTGGGTCAAGAGAATAGCTGCTGGGAGACCCTATATCTGGCAAAATGATTCTGCACCATGGCACACAAGCAAGAGAACCCAGTCATGGCTGTCAGACAATGTCTGCGACCACATCCCCCCTTACATCTGGCTACCTAAATCCTCAGACTGCAACTCCCCTTGATTATTGTGTGTGGGGCGCAGTTGAGCGAGAGATGAAAAAAAATCCTTGTAACATGAAAGATGGGCTGAAAGCAAAGATTATTCCAGCATTCACCAACTTAAATAAAGAGAACGCCCAGAAGAGTTGCAGGAGATTCCGAAGTAGTCTGGAAGCCGCCGTTGAAGATATCGCGATTTGATTAAATAAATTTACTCTTTTGTATTTCAAGATATTTTTGTGTAATTTTGGTAAATATATCTGTTAAACTGAGATGTTAGTGTTTTCATTTTTGCGTAATTTAGACAATTTAACCATCTCAAACCGTATATTACATCTCTAATCGAAAAGTAATTTGCGGCCACACACGAAGAAAGCGTATGCCGCCTGACCAAAAAGGTATATTCTGAGTGAAAACGATAGTCACGAATTGTCAAAGTCTAAAGTTTCCGAACACAAATTTATTTTTCTGAAGAACTTGTATTTTCGAAATTATTTTTTTCTGAATTGAATTTTTTCTCCATGAAATCGATTAGTATTTTGAAATTTTTCATCCTTACTGAAAGCGAGTGATTGAATTTATATTTTGATATATATATATATATATATCATTAGTTATATATATATATATATAATATATATATATATATATATATATATATATATATATATATATATATATATATATATATATATATGTGTGTATTTATATATATATATATATATGTATATATATATATATATATATATATATATATATATATATATATATATATATATATATATATATATATATATATATATATATATATATATATATATATATATATCATGAAACTTCTTTCAAACGTCAAAGTACTGATTTTTTTCCCCCAGAAACTGCAAACTTATCAGTAGGTATATTACCTGATTTGTTAATCTTTATCAATTCCACAAAGTTGATTATATATTTTCATTTTCTTAAAAAACAAAAAAAAAAAACAAATGCAAAAGAAAACGTTAGAACTTCGACTAAAGTTCTTACACTCTCACTTTCAAGCAATATTCATTGACATTAAACAATTTTTTTTCCAGTTTGATCAAATAAAACCGACGTAATTAAGTTGTGATCCATACTTGACAAGCGATCATATGGGGGTTTGTATTTTTCTAAAGGAAATTATTTAAATTTCCAGATTAATACACCGCTAATCTAAACGGTGGAATTCGAACAATGATACGCCCACTGATGTGGAAAGTGAAATCGACATGCCGAGTTTAATTACCAGTTGACTTTCTTTCGTTCGCTTAGCGCTTGGAAAAGGCATGAATCCATCTTCCCTCATTTATGGGTTAAAAAACACGGTAGACTGTATTTTGCCTTAAGATAGCGACTAGTTTAGGGTAAACAAAACAGTTAAAACCAGCCGGGCGAGGATGGGTTCCGTCAGGTTATCTTGTCCTAGGCACACCACTGGTATTATTAAGTTTATGGCTTTTAATATTTCGCACGATATAGAAGGGTAAATGTCATTAATATTTTATTTGAAGAATGTATCTCCTCTTTGGTTTTGTATATTATTGAAACATTTTATGTATTCACCAGTACATTACCATTTTTCAATATATATACAGAAGAATATAAAAATTAAGACGTCAACACCAAAATTAGTCCGAAATTCTTCACTATACGGAACAAGCACTTTCCGGTAAATAGCATATTTTATCAAATATTTACGAATCCAGTGACAATTACCTACAGTGCCCATATATGGTGAAGATTAAGGCCTAACGAGAAAGTATTGAGGGATAAATCTACAAATAAAACGGAAAACCGTAACTGTAGAAAAAGTTAAACTTGCCTGTTAAATGGACAATGTTTGACTGACAATGTTGTATACAGGGCGGAAGTTGGATTATGACTCCGTATGATGAATCGTATTGGTTCGACGGAGGACTCACTTAAAAAGAAATACAACAACCCTGCAATTTCGTTCTGTTTGAGTAGATACCATAATAGATATATTTGGTAAATAAAAGATGAAGAGAACACCGAACCGAAAACAAAATGGAGCCTAGTAAAGAAAAGTAGGAGCTATACACAGGAGGGGATAAAAGTTTGCTAATTATGCCAGAAGGAAGATTTGGCGATCTTGATTTTTCTGAACACTTACGCTTTTACCTAAAAGACATCTAATTATGATGAGATGCTTGCAAAATAAATAAATAAATAATGGCTAATATGAAAGCTGAATAACACTCAGTTCAGTACCCCCCTCAAAACAAAATTGTACCCGACCTGAACATAGGTAATTTTTTTTTAGGGTGAAACTTTAGTTCCCTCGGTGTCATTTTTTATTCTTCATTTATCTTACGTTTTATTGAGCACTTAATTGTAACTGTATCATAGATACTAGTCTCTGGTAAATTCCGACTGTCTAATTCTCTTCGCGTCTATCTATAGAGGGGACCAAGGTCCGCTTCCTCCAATAAATGGTTAGGTAAAAAATTTCATTAATTGAAGGGGTATGCTAGCATGAATAGAAAACACACACAAACACACAAATCAATATTCCCCCACCTCTTAAAATCGATATAGATAAGAGAAACATTCAATAAATTATATACTGACATCTTAAATTCAGCCAGCACAATTGTTATTGAAGATAAAATTATTTGTATTTGATTATTTTAGTTGGACACCAAATTATTTCTGTAATTCAGAATAGATTCTCTTTGTTGATAATAGTGAACAGGAAACAGTATAATGCAAACGTTTAGCAAATTACGAAAAACCCGATTAAATTCATTTTATTTAAGCTACGTCTTATGGAATATAGAAGAAGATCTAGCGCCCTTCATTAGCAAATTCGTTTAAACACTAGTCTTGTATACATGCACATACGAAATGTGTTCGATTCTGCAGCTCTATAAAATACAAATGATTGTACGCCTTATCTCTTAGCGACTAATTTTAATATTAAATAAAATATTTATAGTAATGGCATCCTGTTTAGAATAACTTTCGACGCCAGGCAAAGCATTATATAAAATATTTTCTATTCATTTCTATTAATGATGGCAGCCATATGTGAGAAAACTTCGGAGTGAGAGATGAAATCTACCTTTACAATCTGAAACTGCAGATAAAATACAATAAAATTATTTCTGAGATAATGTTTTACAGTCGAAAACCGATTGTCACCATTGTTTGCTCGGTTATTTCAATTTGTAGAGATACATAATATTTTAAATTTAAAATACTCAACTGCCTCTCTTTAAGATTTTAATTTGAATAGATTAATTTCTATAATGCAAATAGAGTAAACTCTATAACGCCTACGTTATTTCCCTTGCAATGAATATTAACAATATGATGTAATATAACCGATGTTAGTGAGAATTATTGGACTATTTTTTTTTAATATTTTACTTATTTTAAAGTGATTTGGTAAATTAATCTGGCATAAGGAAAGAAAATGAAATTTTTTGGCGTAAGAAATAATTTCGTATAGTTTAAGGCGGTATGAATTCTCATTATTATAGAATTAGATTATGAACCATGGGTTGCCTGTGAGCGTTGAAGAAACAAAATCAACATGGACTATTGGACATGCTCAAAAACGAGTAGCCATTTTGATTAGAAATCACAAATTTTGCAGCATGCCTTCAGCTCTAATGATGGGATGTATTCTCATGTATAATTTGAGATAATAAAACTGAGAATTTGTTACTACAGTAATTTTAGCAACTCTTTATCCTTTCATTTAATAATTTTAATAATCTTCAGAGGAGAACAACCAGCCTTTGACTATGAGAATTTATATTTCATGGTGAATTTCGGAACGTTCTCCCTGACAAGTTTTAGATTTATCTTGTACGTGCAAACATTCGCTAGAATTTCGATCATTCGAAACGAGTTAGTCTTTGCCTTATTTCTCCTCATGGGTCAATCTTTTTTTCGTTTTTATGCATCGAATCATCTAAATTAAGTTAGTAGGAATTCTAACAGGAAGTTTCAGTTTTTTATTACTGCATATATTTCCATATCCATTGTTATCGGATATCCTCGATCTGATATGAATTTCTTTATATCGATGTTTGATTGAATAATGTAATTGTTTCTTTACATTCCGTACAGAAGTAAGTCCTTTTTTCACCGTCATTAATAATTTTGAGTTTGGATCAATGAATTTACAAAGTTTTCAACACATTCGGGCTTACGGATTCATCACATTGAAACGCCCGTTCTCATGCGATCACCGAAGTTAAGAATAATCGAACCTGGTCAGTACTTAGATGGGTAACTGGGAATTACCAGATGCTGTAAGCTTGGATGTGTGGATGTTTGATAGATAATGGCACAGAATTATTCATCGCAGAATTCCAATGCCAATTGGTTCGTTATATTAACTTAGCCGCAAATACCACTGGGAAAAGTATGGAGATACCTCTTCCCCAGCTATGGGTTAATTAGTAAAAACGTATCAGTAAATCATTACCTGTAAAATATTCTTGCCATCTAAAAATAGTTCCTGGCTTTAAATAACCTGCAACGTATTGATAAGTCGTAGAAACAGAATGAATAGATTAGTCATCACATTCATACACAATGTAACCCGGATATAAGAGTTGTCGGGACCGGAGAAGAAGTCTCTTATATCCGGGTTTCTCTTATATCTGGGTTTGGTCTATTTTATATACATTAACACAGGCTCTAATTTGGGACCAGAGAAAATCTCTCTTATATTCGGGTTTCTCTTATATCCGGGTTACACTGTATAATGCTACGGATTTACTTCATTGTGGTTTATTCTGTGGTGAGTTAACGTAAATAATTTAAAAAAAAGTTTTTAACAATGATATTTGTTTCTTTTACAATTGTATTTTTGTCAGCTATTTTTGAATTTCTATTTATATTGTTCGGTTTATATTATTTGTTTAATATTAATCAAAACTATTTTGGAGGAATTTCTTCTTATTCAACTTGAGTGTTTTTTGAAAATGTTTGTCTAAGTTTAAATCTTTTTCCCCTATATTTTTATTAATATTCTTATTTCCGGCTGTATTAAACAGTTATTTTTCTATTTCTACTTTGGGTATATATGCTAATTTCGTTTTGAACGCATTATTATTTAATGCTATTTCTTTTGCTGCTTCATTAAATGTTCATCCGACAGAAGAGTTTTATGTAATTATTTTACTTATTTTATCTCGTGTAATGTGTATATATATATATATATATATATATATATATATATATATATAAAAACTTCAAACGTTACTTTAACAGAATGCTCTTATTTAAGAATTTGTTTTTTTTTCCTCACGCATTCAACAGTATTCGAGGGTACATTTTGGCGGAGTTTTGATTACGCAGAGCATTAGACGAAATAGTTTGAAAACGGGACGTTCTACTGAAACACGTACACCCATTAAAAATAATGTTTGAGGTAATAAAAATGACCGTTTAAAAAAAGTGCAAAGTGCATATATATATATATATATATATATATATATATATATATATAGAGAGAGAGAGAGAGAGAGGAGTGGAAAGTCTCCAACTGATGCTAAATCAGTCGGGTTTCGATCCAAGCTTCAGACAATCGGATGTGTAGCCATACTGATGAGCTATGATACAGCAAATCAGTCTGTATATGACGTATATATATATAAAATCACGTGGGCACCTCGGCGTGGTGTAATGGTTAGCAAGCTTGTCTCGCTAGATCAGTTACAACTGAAAAGTGAGTTCGATCCTCACTAGATACCTATGCTTTCGGCCTTGTGCCACATCTAAGCTACGCTTGAAAAATAACTATATAAAATCACGTTATGCAGAAAAAAATGTTCAGTACTAAATTAATCTGATTTTTTTTTATATGCCGTTAGACATGAACACTAGATAAAGAAACTTTTTTTTTGTTATCTCGTATGGTTAAGTACGTATGAAGAATTAGTTTCTAGAAGTATTATCTTTTCGACTTCACATTCGTTCAAATACCATATATTTCTTCTATATCTTTATATGCGGCATGCCTGAAGTTTCTCAACCCGACAAAGAATACATTTCAAAACTAATTATGTTTAGTCATATTTGGCGAAATGAGACAGACTTCCCAAAGAGCTTTCAAATATGTACTTATTTCATTACAACTTTCATACAGGGCTTTCGGCCATATCACTTTACGTTTCTCGTAAGATCATCGAAGGTAAGCAACGTCGAGCTTAGTCAGTACCTAGGTGGGAGATTGCTTGGGAATACCAGGTGCTGTAAGATTTGATATGAGGTTGTGTAATGGAAATGGACTTAACAGAGCTGAGTTCAAAATTCAGTCCAGTTCTTTACATTCACTTACGCGCAAATGAAGAATGGTGTGAATAAATCGCTCCCCCAGCTATGGGTTAATTAGTAGGATTTAAATAACCTGCAAATGGTTGATAAGTTGTAAAAAATACAAATCGATCAATTTGTACAGTTTCCTTCCTTAGTAAGTCAAAGGTTGTTTGTAGAAGATATAAATTCGATCTATTAAAAAAAAATGAACAGGAAATAAAACAAATCCTGTAATCATCCAAATCATTGGATGTACATTGTGTACTGGATTATAGTCTTATTCGGGATCACCGGACAAATAGATGATTCACGTCTCATGCATTTTTCCTCCATAAATAGTTTTTCACACAAGTCTAACACAACTATCTAACACTCTTAAATTGACCCCGTGCCGTACCTGGATTTCACCCTGCCACACACACACTAATGATAAAAAATCACTATTGAAACATCTTGGACAAGATTAAGGGAGACAAAACGTAAAATCTGATGGCAATTCTTAACGAAGAATGTGATATTATAAACACCCACATCACCTTTAATAATAATAATTAAAAAGTATCAAAATAGATTTCGTTAAAAATCTTATTTCATTACAAATCATTTTAATTCGGTATATTTAACATCTAATTACAATTTGAATTATATATATTCCGTATTCTCTTTTAGATACATGATTTAATTTTCTTACTATAACTTTTTTTAATAGATCGAATTTATATCTTCTACAAACAACCTTTGACTTACTAAGGAAGGAAATTCTACGAATTTATCGATTTGTTTTTTTTTACTACTTATCAACATTTTGCAGGTTATTTACAATTAAAAAACATTTTTAGATTGTAAGAATTGTTTGGAGATAAAAACAAAACTAACGCTTTAGTTGCTCATGGACAAAAAAAAATGTACGTATATTGTGACAACAAATATCTGATATTTTTCATTCAGAAAAATCTAATTACAATACTAATTGCTTATTAACATTTATTTTCATTATTAATAACTGATTTTTTAAAACAAGATTTCAAATCAACCACAGCGTTTTTAAGTACAAGATTGCTATAGTAACTTATCCTGGGTTATTTCAACTGTTTTGATGTATTGAACGAAATATTGACAACTGAATATAATGTTAAAACTTCAACTGGTCTTCACATATTTCCAATTTAGATTGGTTGACATTTATCTGTATATCTTAGAAAAAAACTCCCATATTTTATTCTTCAAAAAGTAATTATCTCTGAGTGAATCATTCGTAAACATTTTAAATGCATCGTGTCAAAATCTTAAATATTTGGTGTCCATTATATTGTTTGATTTTATCAGTAGGAAAAAAATCCAATATATTAAACAATAATTAGCGAAGTTCTTGAAATTATGCTTTTTCATATTTCTAAAGTTATGCTTGACTTGAGAGAAAACCAAATTAGAAATTACTTCCTAGTAAAATTTAGTACCTGTCTTTGTGGCCAATTCTACTTGTCTTCTAAATCATTAAGAAAGGTACTCTTCGACACCGTCACTTTTTTTTTATTCCTCAACTTTGTCATAGTTCACCAAATTGACAAGTGAAAAACAAACAAAAGTTAGATGTTTCCGAATAGAAAGCTGGGTTCGCAACCTTGAGGTGAGGATTTAATATCCTGACATTGATCTGCATTCAAACATTAGTTTACAAATTTCTTTTCGTAAAAAAACAAAAAAAAAAAAAAAAACAAAACAAAACAAAAACAAAAACAAAAACAGGAAACATTAAATAAAAATCTTGTAAGAAATATTCAGAATGATACAATATTCCCAGTAGTGAATTTAATCATAAACAATAAAACTTTTTTTTAAGCTCTACTTATGGTCGCTTCATAAAATACAAAGTTCTACATTTTTTTGAAAATGTCAAAGATTTTGGGTGTTTCTGAAGTGCACCAGTTTGTCATCACTGTAAAAGAAAATAAAATAAAAAGCATTATATCTAAGAGAAAAAATGAAATAAAACTAACTTTTTAGTTGCTCATGGAGAGAAATATTGTATGTAAATGGCGTGATAACAAAAATGATTAAAAAAAACAACTTTAATTTAGATTAATTAACTTAATTCATATGTTAAATGCAAAGGGTGTACATAGATTAAATCCAACGTCTAATTAAATTACTTGTTCATTTTTTATTAAAATTTAAAGCATTTAGGAACATATTTCTAGATTTCAATAAACGAAAAATATTACACGACAAAAATATTTCATGTAATTAAACTTAAATGTTTAATTTTCATAAAACTCCTTTAATTTCATCAACGCAAGTCAGTGTCACGAAATAGTTGATAACTGCCAACGTGATATTTTGGGCCTTACACCATTACGTTGGATAGAAGGTGATACACGCCGAAAAAATTACTAGGTCTAAATAAAATTTCTCGTCACCAAGAACCTTTGTTTATATGAGTTTATCTGTTGGGAGGCCAATATCTACTCGTCTTATACTAAGAGAAACTCAAGAAAATTTTGCGTTCAGTGTCATACCATTATTTACATTATTCGGAAAACTGTCCTCATCTTTGTCGCCATATCTATCACAAAGTTTCGGCCGTTGTAAGCTCAGGCCTTCTTCAGGTGGTTGGAATTTCGAACTGAATCCTTTATTTCGCTCGCTGAGGTAGACTGTTCCAGTTCCTCGTGCCATGTTTGATGGATGTCAGTTATCAGTTATCTCCTGCTAATTTCCCTCTGAAAGTTCTCCACTGCCTCAACCGGGTGTTGAACTCACACTCTTTGGGTCCTGTCACTGGATCTAACCAACGCCTTTATCCACTAAGCCATGATGTGTCCAAGGAAATAAAGGGTTCAGTTCAAAATTCCAACCACCTGAAGAAGGCCGAAGCGTACAACGGCCGAAACGTTGTGATAGATTTGGCGACAAAGATGAGGACAATAGTCCGAATAATGTAAATAATGTACATAATACCTCATCTAAGAAATATAGACAGTGTCATACCAG